GATATCACATGTTTGGTCCCTAGCGCCCTTTCTTGTTGGCAACCTACCATATTCTACGATCCTTGCAAACTAACGAAGCATCCCCTATTCAAGGGTGTTCATGCAATTTACTGTGCAATGTCCGTCAATCTATCTATCTCTATCTATCTATTGTTTGCCTGTCTATCTATCTATGTCTTTGTCTTTCTATCTTTCTATCTATCTGACTATCAATGACTATCTTTCCAACCCTGTAGCACATGGGGGGAAACAACATAACATAAATGGAATTATATAAGATGGATTATGCCCACATATGTCGGGACCGTCGGTTTATGTTGAATTCATCTCTACGAAGCTTTACTGTAAAACAATACACAAAACGGTGTGATTATCATTGCATGAATCAGCCCTCCTCCCAGTTTTGTGTGGTAACTCCCAGGTTGGTCCGCGTCTAGTTGTTCAGATGAGAGAAAAAATGGTTCCCTACTGGGATGAACCGCCGATGTAAGACCCCAACCCTGCAAAGTCGTTTGTTATTGATCCTTCTTAACCTATCAGAACACAGTGCAAACCACCATTAAAAAAAATAGTTCACCCACTTCTAAAGATTATGAAACAACTTAGCTAACATAAATCACTTCTCAATTTCTTTAGGTGCATCAAAACGATGGAACCTGGCCACCACCTGGTGAATGGCTGCAGAACGCTGCTGCCTTGGCGAGTGCCAAAGACGAGCTCGCTGAGTCGATTCTGAAGGCCGGGAGACAGTCGTGGCAGTTTAAGGAAGTAAAACGTTGATACATATACAACTATATACATAGGAAATAATAGACATATTAATGAATGGATGAATGGATGGATGGAGGAGAATGAGAGAGAGAGAGAGATGAGATGCGAGAGATGAGAGAGATAGATGAGAGATGGATGAGAAATGTGTGTTGTGTATGGATTTTACCAATATCGTGAATTCCTTGGAAATCCTTGGAATGTTTTCAACCAGAATGGGTGTTTGACCCTAGTGGAGAATTGATTCATTTCACCACCCCAAGTTGGTGTTTGACAACTCAATTTGGGCAAACAGGCTGCTGAATGTAGTTTGATTATGTTTGATTGGGATCTACACGATGCCATCGCCAGAGTCAGCACTTACAAACTAGATGCAACACAGTGAGCCGCTTCACATTCACCCATTGCTTTTCATTGCCCTCGTTGCAAGGGAACGTCCGTTGCTAAGATCCAACAGAGATCAACAGAGATCAACGGAGCTGCAGGCATCCAGGACGCTTCTCTGGAGATGTCCATCACTGCCAACTTTGGAAGTCGACCTCTACCCTCTGGTAAACTAACAGTTTGCCATTGAAAATGGCCATAGAAATAGGAGGGTAACATGAACAACGGTATGAGTCAAGGATCGGGTGGAACGGCCGCACCAGCTGGAAGGATTTTGACGCACACGGCTATGAGTCAGAACCCTGGTACCCTAGGTACCTGAAAATAGCTGGTGAATGGATGGTTGTTCTCCCAAATATGGTAATAGTAAATTTTGACCCATCTCCAAGTACAATTCCCCCAATTCCATTATCATCCCCGTTCTTACTTGCAAATCCAAGGCAGTATCTGTGAAACTTGATCATCATTTGTTCAAATTAAATTGCCATTTCTGGGCATTCTCCATTTTCAGACACGCCCAAGTCAAGTACAGGTTACCCTCTGGTAAACTAACATAACTATGGAAAGATCCACCATTTTTAATGGGAAAATCCACTATAAATGGCCATTTTCAATAGCTACGTTAGTTTACCAGAGGGTACAAGTCTCCATCAACCAACGTTGGTCACATTCCAGGCCTCGAGTGCCGCCAAAGATGAGAGCCTCGAGGTGATCCCAGGAAAGTCATGGAATGATGGACTTCAAAATGGATCATTTAAAGGTACCCAGAGGTTTAATGGGATATACAATATGAGCCACGATATTATATTGTATTCCCATGGGATATCTCATATCATAAGTGCCACGATATTATACATGGTGGCACTTCAAATATTGTATTCCCATGGGGATCGTGGCACTTATGATATGAGATATTTGAATTTCATGAGGTTTAATGGGATATACAATATGGACGATATTGCATTTTATCCGCGTTTTTTTAATCGCAAGAATGAGACCACCTGAGAAACAATCTACTCCATACTAGGTGCTGGACAGTCATTGGTTGATATGGATTGATCGTGGCATATATCATACAAGTGCCATCAGCTGGATGCAACCTACCACCATGAGAGAATCAAAAAACTGTGGGGAAGGCTGGTTTTGGAGACTTAACCAAACACAGACCTGCAGATTCTGCAGATGCAGAATATTTAAGGATGATTGGACTTGGATCTGAAATCGTGTATGAGTGAAGATAAAGAAACAGCATATTGAAATCCTCGCTTCGAATCTACCCTCGGGTAAACATACAAAAAACTATGGGAAATCACCATGTCTAATGGGAAAATTCACTATTTCAATGGGCCTTTTTCAATAGCAAACTGTTAGTCATTACCAGGCCGGGTATATGGACTCTGCCTGCACGGTGAGCGCTGCATCCTGTGGACATTGCTCCAAGAGGGGATTGTTTTGCTTGATGATCAAGTCGGCCCTTCGTTGGTAAAGCCCTGCTTTTGGGTGGTACAATCGATTGATTTGTTGCTTAAGCTAACTTAAGCTGAAGAAAAAATCTGTTGGATGGATCTCATATATTTGATGCATTTTGATTGCTAAAGCAAGGATTTCCGATCCCAACAGCACTGTATTCCCGACATCGATGGGTGCAGCAATGGGCCCGCGCTAGGCGCTACGTGCCACGGAAAGCAGCACGTCTGCTGAGCTGCAGGTGACCATTTTTCGGGGTCCGGAGACAGGAACCCGTTGGATCCCCAAAAACACGAAAATGGATGCAACTGGTCATACGCAACGGTACCCTCTGGTTATGTCAAAATAGCTATTGAAAATGGCCATTTATAGTAGATTTTCCCATTAAACATGGTGATTTTCCATAGCTATGTTAGTTTACCAGAGGGTAAAATGGATCTTCCCAAGCCTGTTTTTTTGGGTTCCATGTTAAAATTTTGAGTGAAGTGGAAGCATTGTTCATAGCAATAATGTGGGGTTGTTCAGAGCTCAAATCCTCACATATCATAAATCTGGGCCCATTCGCGACTAGACCCTGATCGCCCAAACCCCAAGGATGATGCTCACAAGGATCTCCGCCTCCAATGAGCATAGATCAACAGACAACAAAACCAATTTGAAGAAGAATTCTGGCTAAATCGTGTAAATGGAATAGTACCAAGCCGGGCCTTTATTTTTTCCCAAAAAGACATCATGTTGCAGGGTTCTTCTGGGGCTAAATGAGCGGTATGTATTCGCCTTGAGAAATACACAGCTCGAATGCGGAGTGATTTCCACAGTTGCAGTCACTCTGCAGCCTGCTGCAGTCCTGTCAAAAAAAAACAGGTTGTTTTCCTTCTCAAAACCACCAGCCAGTGCAAACCGCCATGCCAAATTTCTTAAAGTGGTAACTCCAATAACAAGTCTACCATTTGAGGATGGCTTGTGCCAGCCATTTATGGTCATATGGGGACGGTCTATAATTGGGTTTACTAAATTATTGGAGAAATGAAAAGATATGAGACTGAGTTGTGCAGCCATCAACAAAGTTCAATCGTACACAATCAATCAGTTCCAGATACAATACCCACATACCTCTGTACCAACTCGTCTTGCTGATTTCATCATTCACCCTTAGTTTTTCATACTTGGATGAAGGAATTATTTATAGGTTCTACCCCCGCTTATAATGTTGAAAACCGTGGTTTCCCGTAAACGTTCCCTTACTGTATATAAGCGAACGCCAATCAAGCAGTCCCCATTCTTGGTAGTGAAACCTTGGTAGCGCGGTCAAAAAGCTGGATTATCCATATTGGGAGGTGGTTGTACACCATTTAACATAATCCTCTCCCCCTAATACTAAACCTCGGGCCCCCCCAAGTAATAAACACTTGAGGTAGCTTTTATTATTGGGGGGTATTTATCATTAGGGAACCAAAGTCGATTTAAAATCCTAATATTAACAAAAAACTATATAAAACCCTAATATAAAAAATATTGCCAAAAATTGGATTTTGAAGCTTCCCCCCAATATTGAATTAAAAACCTTAATATAAAATACATTTTTTCCGACCTTAAAAACCGAACCCTAATTTAAAAAAAAAACACACCGGGGTTGACTAGTTTTCATTATTAGGGGGCGAAATCCTGAAATGGTAGCTTCATGTTTAAATTGTTTTCTAAATCTAAAGGGGATCAGTTAAAAATCAAATTGACCAACCTCAAATTTTCCAAAAATTGAGACGGACCCTATAGTTTTTATTACTTGGGGGGGTTAGCAATATATTAGGGGGAAGGGATTATTGGAACAATTTCACAATTCATAGCCAATAGAAGATTCCAAGATTCAGGATTGGATGCCAACCCATCGATCATATCTTGACCATGCCACATGTGATAGTAATGATTTAGTAACCAGTATCACAGAAAGATGATATCCTGATAGCAACAGTACATACATGCAGATATGTTATTAACAGACATCATTGATGCCCACCTATGCTCTAACGTTTCAATGGTGAATAATTGCGTAAGAACATGTTTTTTGCAAAAATACATGCCCAGAACAATACAGGTATTTGTCTGGTTGGTGGTTTGGGGAATGTCACCATCCCAGCTGACGAACTCATATTTGTCAGAGGGCTTGAAACCACCAACCAGTATATATATATATATTACCCAGAGGGTCCCGAGTATCATCCGGTACGTCGCTAGGCTCGGCACCTCGACAAGTAACTTATAAGTTAGGATGAGGGGCCACGATTCTCGGCCTGTCCCCAGGACATACCCAGAATAGGAAACAACCCTATAGGCTACTACAAAGTAAGATCAAATAAGTTGAATCTTTGGAGGTTTGGGTCAGTGCGCCCACGGTCCCTGCATGTCATTTTTCGGCTCCCCTGATCATCTCGGCGAAGATGTCCAACATGCGGAGCCTCGCTTGCAGCTCAATCTGCCTGGTTGCTCAGCCTCTGGGACCATAGTTTTCTATAGTTCTATATTGGAGAAATGAAGGGCCATTAGTAATCTGTAGCGTTCAAGGGCTCTGAGATGAAGAGATGCTCTGTGGCATGTCCTTGCCAACCTGCCCATGTGACCAATATAGGATTCAGCACACAGCAATGTGTACCATGACGGATTCACTTTGCACTTGCGCACATCCTCCAGCATGTGCATAAAATGGTGGTGCTTGGGGAGCAACAGCCAAAGGGCTTTATTCAAAACTCCGCGTCCACGAGTGTTGGCCTGCGCAGCGCTAAGCGTATTCAAATAGCCGTATACTTCCAAATGGTTCATCCCCTTCTTGTAAAAGTCATTGGCCTGCTCCTCTGACAAAATGACTGGTAGCTCCTCACTTGGAAGATATCCGGGGTAAAGCAAGACACATGGGACCTTAAATTCAAACTGACAAATGCCGCATTACCTCAAACATCTCAAGCTCCAAAGTCTTTCCCGAGCAAAATCCTGCCAAGGATCATCAAGCAGCCGCAAGACCTCTGAGTATGTCCACATGCAATTTGCCACATGTCTATCCAAATCAGTAGCTCCATCCCTCCTCCCGTGCTCTATGGCACATGATGTCAACCAAAAGGATATGGCCTTCCCGGCAACAGCTTTGCTACTCAAAGACGGGTAAGAAGTTCGCTGTGACCGGGACAGGCGTGCAGGCGTAAATCGAGGTTGGCTGATCCCAAGCTTCCTTGAAGACTTCCATTCATTGAATCGAAGATACGCCGCTCGAAGACACCGTGCCATGGCCACTGGATATTGGCTGTTCTGCCATCCGTCAAAATAGCCAACCTCACAAAGGTAAGTTAGGACGCTGCCGTTGCAAACCTTCCCAGTACCAAGCAGTTGTGAATGGCAGACGTCGTGCATAAATCTCTCGAGGCGGCAGCCCGGAATTCTAAACAGAGGGTGGTACTCCTCCGCTGCTATGCCAAGCCGACCAAAAAATTGGTCGTGAGAAACCCTAGTTTGCCGATGAGCTGCTTCTTCTCTGAAATCCCCCACAGTCATGGAGATGTCAGGATGGTTCTTGCAGCAGGAACACCATGAACATAATTGATTACTCCTGTAGTTGTGGAAACCAAACTTCTCCAACAACCATTTGAGGTCCCCTTGTGTTGACGAGTATGTGAACTGATAGCCCGTCCTGGACCAGGGATGGGCAATCCGGCTGTTGCACATGCGAGCGATACGAGGGGCAAGCGCCTCCCAAATGTCCAAGAAGGTCCGTGGAGTGGCATAGTGGTCCGGTAATATACAGATTGTGAAGTACCTCGACAATGCCGGCATGCCAGCAGAGAAATCACTGCACCAAGCCACTAATGATACAACACCGCCTTCGGTGTTCCGAAAACTTTGAACCTCATCGCCATAAAGCGACATTGGAATGAGTTTGTCGGGCCGGTCACTTTCAGCTGCTGGGTGTCCTTCCATCCATGGGGCATTGTTCCGGCAGTGATTCCAAAAGTCTTCTGCATCAACCTTGTCTCCAAAAAAGACTTTCTCGAAGAGTGCAATATTCTGCTCGTACAGGGCAGCTGCAAGTTTGTCAGGAAAAATCACGGACAAATTTTGCAGCGACTCTTCTTCAGTCTTCGGATTGTACAGATGAACACGAATTCGTTCGATGTCAACATCTATGGCAGCACCAGCTTTCAAGATCAACCTCTGCAAATCTCTTTCACAGTTGCTCGAAAACTTCCCGTGGGCGCCAATCGCAGCCACCTTGCGCAGAGTACTAGTGCTTGGCAAAGTTCCCCGGCAGCGTTCAAGTAGCTGCGTGGCGGCTGCCGCTAACTGCTGTACCTTACCATGTGCGGACATGATTTCTGACACATGTTTGGCCCAAGCTTCGGAAAAAAAAGCATCCCAAGCATACTTGGGGGTGCAGTTCCAGGTATATAATTATGTATATATTTATGCCATCTAAAAAGTTGAAGGGGTGAAATCCCAAATTACGGTGTTTTTTTGCCATAGTTATTTCCATTAATAAACGACCCCAACAGCACCCCCACATATAGGATGTTTTCATCAAAAGTAAAATTCTGGGCGCACTAAAAAATGAAGCCCAATAAATTGAGAATCTTTGACAGCACTCATTTTGCCACATGCGAAATCATGTAGCAGAATGTCACTCAAAACGTTGCCAGCATCTCTTGAAGATGAGGAAACTTCAGTGGCACTCTCCTTGCAGGGATAAACACTTGCACAGCTTGGAAGCGCTATACGATTTTCGTAGTGCATGGGTATACATATCCAACTTGGCCACTGCAGGCATTGGTGTGCCCCAAAATCACACTTTGGTACGTTGATGGGTCTTCTTCCTACTTTAAGCCCGCATTCTTTAAGATATAAGCTGGGGTGATAAGGATGGATGAACCAGTGGGTTGATATAGATGGAAGGTAAAGGGAAAAGGGGGAACATATAATAAGCAGATGGAAATAGTCATGTACTACAACATATACATTTTCTTGAATATATCTCGAAATGTGGAACACCCCCGAGAAATTAACAAATTGAAACACAATGAACTATAATGACAAACTTGACATTGGGGAGCACTGATTTTTCCACCAGACCCAGCTAAAATATTATTTACATAAAACATATAACACACACATATTTATATATATATATTTATGTTCCATATGTATATAAAAATATATCGTGGACATTTACATATATATATATATTCTATAGATATACAGATATTTATATATATATGCATACATGTATTTACACATTTTTAGAGACATGCATATATACAATTACATTTATAAATGCATATGCATTAAAACACATGTATAAGGTGTAAATATATCTGGTGTAAACATAAGTATATACATGATGTGTATGTTTATTTTTTTTTATAGATTTACACCTGTCAGGTGAGGGTTGTTAGATTTTAGGTCAGCTGTCCCGCCTCCGCCTTCTACTCCCCCTCCTCCTCCTCGCACGCCAGACCGCTGCAAGCTCTTGATCGCAGTGGTCCCCGCCAGACCCGAACAGCAAGCACAGGATCAGAGCGTTCCCAGCCGCAACCACAAAGAATCTTCGAACAGAGAAGACAGAAAGAATGCCAGAAGGGAATGTCAGAGAAAAATTCCAGATAGAATGTCAGAATAGATGTCAGATAGAATGCCAGAATAGATGCCAGATAGATTGCCAGAACAGATGCCGGCCAGATAGATTGCCAGAATAGGTGCCAGATAGACTGTCAGAATAGATGCCAGATAGAATGCCAGAATAGGTGCCAGATAGATTGCCAGAAAGACTGTCAGAATAGATGCCAGATAGAATGCCAGAATAGATGCCAGATAGACTGCCAGAAAGACTGTCAGAATAGATGCCAGATAGAAAGCCAGAATAGATGCCAGGTAGACTGCCAAAAAGACTGTCAGAATAGATGCCAGATAGAATGCCAGAATAGATGCCAGATAGATTGCCAGAATAGGTGCCAGATAGACTGCCAGAAAGACTTTCAGAATAGATGCCAGATAGAATGCCAGAAAGAATGGCAGATAGAATGTCAAAATAGATGTCAGAATAAATGCCTTGATGGGGATAATTACATATGACATACATTTTTTGGGAGGCGAGTTTTCTTCGAGAGATGGGCCTTCCCAGCGGAACCCCGTGCCCCCATTGTCACCAAGTCCGGTGCTTGTGCCTTCGCCAGCCGGGCCAAACGAGGATTCTGCGATGGCTTCACCTACCGTGGCCAATGTTGAGGACAAACCATTTTTTGTGGGAGTGGATGCATGGGTTACGGACCAACCCTACTTTCACATGTTTGAATTTATGGTAAAATAACTACCCATCTTAGCCAATGTCCCCTTTATCATTGGGTAATTCCATTATATCATATCAATCTGCTCCCACTATAGCATGAAATGTTTAATTCATTTTATAATTCCATCAAAGATCCGCTGATCGACGCCCGCCGGAAGATGGGCCTTGCCGATAGATTGTATCCTCCGATCCCGCAGGCCTCCAAAGGGTTTCATAAGAACCGGGGCATGTATCCCCAAAATGGCATCCCTTCCAAGAATTTTGGAAAAACAATGCGAGATTGTAAGCATTCTTTCCCCGATGCCTTTGACAAGTAAGCTCACATAGCGTGTGGAATCGCACGCCAAGCAACTGTGCCAAGCCAGCTGCACAGCCACATGTCCAGAAGTATCTTTGGTCATATTTAATCATATTACTGGTTCATGTATAGTGTCGAACATCATTATAGATCAAATGTATCTCAAGAATTGGGCTGTGGTGGCGCTATGGCACAAGTTCAAGCCCTATACCCCAGGATCATGGTTTCACGACCCTTTGACAAAAGATTTTGAAGATTTCACTGTGCCGGCAGGATGGTATCACTGGCCGTCGTCGTCCCCACCCTCCTGAGGCCGGTGTGGAAAGGAGATTGCAGCTGGGTGACGGGATGACCTGGCTGGGGCTATCCTTTTTACAGAACATGCACTAGAATCTAAAATAGTAAATAGCATTTCCCTGGAATGCAATAAAGGTATGCAAAATCAAAAGACAGCTTGAACTGCATGGGTCGGACCCGGCATGTGATGGTAGTTTCATTTCGGTGGCAAATATGCCGCCAAGATCCTTCTTGCGCTTTTCCTTCTTGGTGCGGCACAATCCGTCCGCTGCAAGCTTATCTTCGTAGAACATGCTCTGGCGGTCCAGGGCTAACTTTGTAGCTGCTGCAAGCTGGTCCATGAGCACCACATCTTTGCCCTGCAAGGCATAGGCGGCAACGTTTGTTGCGGGCTGATCATATGTTCTGTGTGGGGGTGGCTGCATGCATGCATGCATGCTGGCACAAACACAAGCATACTTAGTTAACCATAGCCTGACGGATCATGGCTTTGAGCTGGCTATAGCTTTGCTCCAGCTCAGAAGAGTGATTGGACATGGTCTGACCTGAGGTCGGGTAACATGTGCGTACACCTATAGGGACCTTGCGTCTCAAATGCATGGCCCGAACTGGGATGGTACCTTGAATAAGACTAGCCACACAGAGCTTGCTGATGCTGCATGTGGCTGAGCTTCAACGGAATGGTCTTGCCCAATGACAAATCAGTCAGAAGCTTCGGGAGGAGCCACTCTGCAGCAGCGAAAGGTTCATCAGGCATCTCTTTCCTCCTTAGGTGCCCAAAAATTGTATAGAAATTGTCAGAATAGTTACAAGACGTCAGAATAGTTGAAATTGCCATTGGTGCTATATGTAACATGCTAATGCTATAATATGCCGTGTAAAAATCTACAGCCATGCTTCTTTCGAGTACCTGGAGCGGTGCCCTTGCCCTTGCCCCGTCCAGGCTGTCCAGGGATGGGCGCAGGAACATTGCCCTGAGCCGGCACCGAAGGCTGACTCAACCGGGGAAGGTTGGAAACGTCCGAGCTCATTCCACCCAACACATTGTCTGTCAGGAGCGCTCCAGCAGCCTCCCGTAGCCGATGTGGAATCTGTGGACATGAAAATCATACTGATAGAATCCCATCATAGAAACATGGGGGTCCCATTATAGTCCCTTGGAGGCTTTCATGGCGTTACTAAACGAATTTATTTTGTGATGGTGATACACAAAAAAAAACCTGATGATCACATGGAACATACCCCGTACGTTGCCCCATTTAGGGGTTGTCATGTGTTAGATTTCTTCATGTTTGTAGGGAGGATGTGTGTGTGTGTGCGCATGTGTGTGAAAACTTGGTGTGACCCCATGCCACTCTTTGTGTGTATGTCGACCTGGCAAGGCCGTGTTTCTATGCCCTGCCTCAGAGCCGGCGTCCAGTGCGCCTTCCGTGTGGATCACCGTTGTGTCCTCGTACACGTCTTCATGGGAATGGCTCATCTCAACCAGAACCTGTAGTATGGCACCATGTGGATTTGGTTGGGACGGGTGGCCAACACCAAAAAAATGTGGGATGAACGATGTGCAACCAGTGAGTTCGGGAACGGTATACATGTGCAAAGACATAGGGAATAATGTGTATATATAATATATATATATATATATGTATGTATGTATGTATGTATGTATGTATGTATGTAGACATGACGTCGGGTATAGCCCACAAAAAAGACAAGCATTCCATCCATCTATGAACATATGACACCCATATAAAAATACACATATATTATTTTTAAAAACCTGTATAGCTTGAGCTAGGTAAAACCCATTTTCCACGGACGACCCCAACTGACCAACTGGATATCCTTTTTGGGGTGGCGTTTCTCATTTTACGGCAAGAAACATAGTACATGGTCATAGCAGCATCGTCCGGCATGTCGGGGTGCTCGCGGAACTCGCCCGTCGATTTTTTCCGAAGAACCAACGAGTCAGCCAGATGAGTGTTGCCGTTGAACATCTGGACGATTTGGTCCCGGGTACGCCAGCCTTTGGGTGTATCATAAAATCTTTGGAAAATTGAAATATTGTTTTTTGACACATGCATCAAAATCCAAGTCACCCATTTTCTTCTTCCCCTTCTCGCGGTCGATGCGGGCCCTTGACTGGGACACTGTGATCCTCAGGAGGGGGTACCAATCATGCAAGGATAGTGGGACTGACCGAACAATAAAGTGTACAAACACTTGGTTGCCTCAACATAGTTTCCAGGTGGCCATGCTAAATAAACGCCAAAGTTCTTAGAGAAGGATCCACCGGCAGAGCACCAAAGCTGGAACAGTTTGTTTTTGGCGCTTCTGCTTTTGGAGGTTACAGCACTCTGCCAAGCATCAACAAACTCTTGGGGAACACTGACTGTGGAAATCTCACCCTGCACCTGCCGCTTGAAGGCAGCATAGTGTTTCTGCCTTTCTTGTCCGGTGGTGGGATCAATGCTTTCCCCACTGTTGCTGACTTGGAATTGCTGATCCAAGCGGTCAAGCTGCTGCGGTGCTGATGCTTTGGGCTGCGCTGGTGGAAGGGTGGCCTTTCCTACCACGGGTGGTGCTGGTGCCTGGGCGGCTGGTGCTTGTGCTGGTGGGCTTGGTGCCGCTGCTTTTGCCTGCGGTGCAGCTTGGTGAGCAAAGAGCTGGGTGTGTGGCGTCGGTGCTGGGGGCGGGATGCTGTCAGCCTGCTCAGCTTTGACGTTGACACCTGCCGCTGCTGTGCCATGCGTCCGGGAATCATCACATGTCTGGGTTGCATCCAATTGTTTTGCTGCAGCAGGTGGCTCTGGGATTCGAGGTACGATTGTAGTTTGCGAACTTGTTTCATCAACCTTGCTGTCATGGACTGCGCCAACCCTAGCTGGGGTTACCACAGGTCTTGGTGATGGCTTTGCTGTTGGAACCACTTTTGCTTCTGCTTTGACCCCCTGGATGGTCTTTGGCATGGGAGCTGCTGAACTTGCCTTTGCCACTAGACTGGGAGGTGGAACAGCTGGCATTGCAACGTGTGCCTTGGGGGGTGGTGGCAATGTGGGTTGCTGTTTGATCTGCTGTGGTGGTGGCGGGGGAGGTGGATGTGGCGCTGCTTTGGGGGAGTAGTAGCAAGTAGGGGCCGGGGAGGGCGCTGCAGGAGTGGGTTCTGTCTTGGTTGGCTGCGCTGACTTTCGTGCTGTGACTTGAGGTCTATCAGGATTGGGTAAGCCTTTAGCCTTCTTAGTCACACGACCCTCACCAACCTCCAGCTCAAGCTTGGTAGACCCGCCAATCCCAGCAACAGTGGGCGATTCGCCGCTTGCACCAGGTACATCAGCAAGATGCTCCAAAGATGCCATCGAAGCGGCTCGGCTAGGCGTGGCTTGCCTTGGCTGACTGGGAATATGATCACATATAATAAGATATCACAGGGAACATGAACACGTACATACGTATACATATATATATATATATATTATATATATGTATGTAAGTAAATCATGGGGAATATGAACACATATATAAATTTCGGAATATGGACACATGCTATACAAATATATCATGGGGACGATTCGATTTTGGGTTACTGGAGGCAACACATTCAAACATGGTAGATGTGATAAATGAAATCAGGGTGCGTCATCACACTGAGATTGGCTGATGACAGGGTAGCCGGATGCAAGTTCATAGATTTGGGCCATGAGTAGGGCGACTCTGCATCCCTTTCCTGCATGCAGCATAAATTCTAAAATGATGAGTTCGGCAATAATCATGTTTCATGGATCACTTAGTCATGTCCACCCAGCTCACATGGACATCAATACCCAAAGGACGCGTAGGCCTGGCTTTCCATCATAGTGGATTGACTATCCATACTTCGCATCGCAAGCTCCCTGGAGACCGAGTCCTGCGTAAGCAAGCATGTGTCCCAGAAAATTTTGAAAAGGCTTTAGAATGATGATGATACCCGGGATTTAGAAATGGGATAGGTTGGCCAAGAGGGAACCCACAGTCCTTCCCACCAACAGGAGATTTAAACGAAGGCTTTGGAGGTGGAGTGCAGTAGACTTCAGATGCTGCAGCATGGTCTGCCCCATCCTGACAGGGATGTATGGACAAGAAACGGTCCTTGTTGACACAGCAGCCATTCCACTTGTCAAAGAATTTTCTGATTCTCACCGAGTACGGAATGAAGCCGCAAGCTTTTCCAGCCTATCAAAAGGTTGTGGGGTGCCAGGGGTTATTTCAGTAGAAACCACGGTTTGTGAGTCATAACCACCACACATGGTAATTTGGGTAAGTCAAGTGAAAACCATCAACGCCAAGGCACCTCTAGGTCAATCACATCCCCGGGTCGAGACGGAGGCATGAGTACCAGCACGCTGCAAAAGGCACGCAATCTTCCACGAACTGATCTCTCAAAATGGCGCTGGACGCAGCATGCACTGTAGAAATCCTACCATGATGCAGCAACCAAACTAATGTAAACTGACACTGACAACGGCCCTAACTGACTCTAATGATTCTAAGTGACGCCAACTGACGGAAAGTTATGGGTCTGGTCAATTCCTATTCCGATTTTTCTAACTGACGCCAACTGACGCCAACTGACGCTCGGCACGTCGAAACGAGGGGTTTTGACATGCCACGATTCTCTAACCGACGCCAACTGACGCCAACTGACGGACACCACCGAGCCCGCAAAACCCGACAACCCCATATTCAAAAAATGAAAACGAGTTGGTTTTTCAGAGCTTTCCTTTGGGTTCCCGCATGGCCCCATGCCTGTAGGTCAACTTCTTTCATGGCAGCGTTGCCAAAATGTCAACATGCCAGGCTCTCAGCAGTGGGCCGGTGTGGGTAATCCCTAAAACACCCGCCGTAATTACGGCATGCACGGCGCCCTCACACATTTGTGTGGGAGGGTTCCATGTGAGAAGTGCCATCCAAAGGAAATTAGAGCAACAAATGGCGTAGCTCGTATACCTTCTTACGGGTCAGGAGTTGGCACAAGTAGTCTTCCACCTCTCCAAGCCTTGGGGAAACTAGAAAGTTTAACCATGTGGCCAAGAGAAGGTTCAGAAAGTTCTTACTGGGTTGAAATGTTTATACTGAGAAACCGTTCAGTCATGTCCAGTTCTAATTCAAATGCAGCCTAGATACTTGGCATCGTCCCAAGGGTCTGGTGCATAGTTGATCTCGAACCTCCGCTTGTCAAGACCATATTGCTGAGACCGAAGATCAAACTCACGGGCGACCTTGGCAGTCGCAGGCGAGACGTGAAACCGGACAGGCTGAAAACAGTGAGAGTGTTCAGACAAAATTATAACAGAATATATGTTGTACATTCCCCGCCCGTTCTGGAACCAATATGTTGGCACTATACACGCAGTACCAACTGCAGGTCAAACTTTGTTGGCTAAGTCCCGAACAGCTCTGCCAAACTTTGATGGATATACTTGGCTCTTCTTTAAACTGGAGGATCCCTTAAATCTTCGGACATTGCTCCCATCATTATAGGAGACTGTAGTCGACTCCGGAGTGAGGCCCGTCTGGTCAAGCAATGCCATCCAAGTAGGCCGATGGAATCTCCTAGACGGGATGTTTCCAAACCATCATGTTGTTTCTGATTGGATCCAGTGTGGTGGTATGTGCCAAAATGTGGGCACAGCATGTTTTCCCCACCTGTCAGGTGAGGGTTGGTAGATTTAGGATCAGAGTGGTCCCTGCCCGACCTCAACTGCAAGCGCTAGATCGCAGTGGTCCCCGCCGGACCCGAACAGCAAGCCCCGGATCAAAGTGGTCCCCGCCGGACGCGAACAGCAAGCACGGGATCAGAGTGTTCTCAGCCGAACATCGGCCACAAAAACTCTTCGAACAGAGAATGCAGAGAGAATAGAAGTGAATGTCAGAGAGAATGCCAGATAGAATGTCAGAACAGATGCCAGAATAGATGCCAGATAGACTGCTAGAAAGTATGTCAAAAGAGATGTCAGAATAGATGCCATAGAATGTTAGGTAAAATGTCAGAATATATGTCAGAATATATGCCTTGAAATGCCATGGTGGGGATCACTCAGTGAAAAGTATTTGTTTGTTGTTGTTTCTCCCCTCCTCAGCTTTTCCATCCTGAATATCTATCTTGCACTGCTACATTCTATACAGTATATCTGCACGACAACAACGAACAAATAACAAAAATCATTTTCAGGGGCAACCATTGTTGCAAAAAACCCACTGGCCCCAGAGTTCCTTTGGAGATGTGTAACCCAACCATCGTCACTGAAAAGTTTGGTTGGCTTTGGACTTAAGCTGCCAAACATTCCCAAAGAGGTGTAGGTCTGGACCACGTTCCAATTTCGGATGAACTCCGCCAGGCGATCGTGCAGGTGTATCTGGGCGTTGGGGGCTGGCATGGTCACCTATAGAGAGCCAGAGGGAACCAGCTTGGAATACATATGTGATTTCGTATCATTTCTGTCTATCAAAAGTCCAGTTGCAATCGACCACAATGGGTTTTCCAAAAGCACATGCCCTCCACAGAAGAGGGCTGCCATAAATAAAAGACACACCTTAGTACAAGACCCGGCTGTACACATGGAAGAAGCAAGATACGCATGTGTACACATTATCCCACTTGCTTGTCCTTCGATCTTAGCTTGTGACACGACTCACCATCTGATTGGCGAATCTGATATATCCCAGGGACCTCATGGACATCCCAAAAAAAGACTGCTCCAGAAACATGTTCCTACCTGTCCTAACCTGTCCTATCTCACTCCAAACCACATCCTATTGCCCAGCCACGTATTGCCCATCGGACATTCTTCCGATCTGCCTGATGTACCACCTCAGGCGGCTCTGCAGGCTTTTGGCGCTTTTGAGGCTGTGTTTGCTTTTTGAGGTGCCGGTGGGTTGCGCCACACTGGTGGAACACATGGGCTAAAACCTTCTGACTTGATCTGGATCATCCAAATTTCAGAATAGTGGGAAGAAACCGCACCGCATTGTTGACAAACAGTTCCATAGATACTTAATTTATAAAATCGTTCCTTCAAAATCACAGATAAATGTTAAGCATCAACAGCTCAATGAATAGTTTGTGTCCATCCCCTACATTTCAGAAATCCCCATTTTCTTCACCACCCGGATCTGGCATCCCAGACACGGTTGATAAGGGTAAATGAACTACACACCACTGCAGCGGAGAAGAGCCCACCCTTCTGCATTCTCATGATTGAGACCAAATGGCGAAGAAACCCCAAAGGAGAGTTGATATCCTGGGATCATGGACGTGGAAAACCAAGCGTGATGTGTGGACAGGCATACTCACAGGGTCTCATTGAAGGACGTCAGTGTTCTAACATGCGTGGTGAAATTGAACTTTCAAAACTGGAAGTTAATCTGAGGGTCATCCATTTCGTCCAGCGCAATGTCCAGCCGGGCCACCCTATGACCCCTTCCTTTGAAACCCCGCGCTATGGCGCCCTTTCCACTGAATGCATCCACGTTCCGGAAACCCACTTCAGTGGGTGGCAGGATGAAAGCCTAGGATGCAGTCTATGGATTGGTATTGTGAGGGATGTGATTCTCCTTTAGGCTCTCCTTAAACGGATTGCTGGATTGCGTGAACTCACTTCCGTCTCATCAAACCAAGGGACTCCCGTGATAAGCTGCATCAGCATGAACAACCGGATCGGCAAGCAGCCAGGCCGCGAGGGTCCGTGTGGGAGAGGCCGAGGAATGAAGACCGCAGCTTCCGGGTGGTCTTCCGGGTGGTCCATCCTTAGGCCGAAGCGCTCAATTGGGACAGGTTAGGAGTATAATACAGCCATATGCAGCCAAAAGTGGTGATATGCATATGCAAAAAATCAATTGGATACCACCCCAATAAATTTATGTTCATATCCATGCCACGGCAATCATTTTGCAAAAAAGGGTCTCACCGTGAGGTCGTTTCATGGATAATTGGGATGCCAAAGCGAGCAGCTCACCAACCCCGAGTTGTATTGAACAAAAAGATTGCTGAACAGAAGACACACATGTATGCATGTATGCATGTATGCATGTATGTATGATGCATGTATGTATGCATGTAATGTATGTATGTATGTATGTATGTATGTATGTATGTATGTATGTATGTATGTATGTATGTATGTATGTATGTATGTATGTATGTATGTATGTTTGAATGTGTATGTATGTATGTATGTATGTATGTATCTATGTATGTTTGAATGTGTATGTGTATGTATGTATGTATGTATGTATGTATGTATGTATGTATGTATGTATGTATGTATGTATGTATGTATGTATGTTTGAATGTGTATGTGTATGTGTATGTATGTATGTATGTATGTATGTATGTATGTATGTATGTATACATGTCTGTCTGTCTGTCTGTCTGTATGTATGTATGTATGTACTTACGTACGTATGAATGTATGTATGTATGTATGTATGTGTGTATGTTTGTATGTATGTACGTGGGTATGCATGTATGTCTGTCTGTATGTCTGTCTGTTTTTCTGTCTGTCTGTCTGTCTGTACGTATGTACGTATGTATGTATGTATGTATGTCTGTATGTCTTTCAGTATGTATGTACGTAAGTATGTAAGTATGTAAGTATGTAGGTATGTAGGTATTTAAGTATGTAAGTATGTATGTATGCATGTACGTATGTATGTTTTCTCGATGCGGCATTAAACAATATCAGTTGCACCATGTTGATTCCGACATTCTATGTCTTTTTTCGCAAGCCATAATTTGAATCCAAAGCGGTGATCTAAGCTGATTGATTTGAATCCCAGAAGGCATGTCCTTCCATGCCTATGCCACCAGAACACGGAATTTGCTGGGCATTGCTGAGTACACGGACAGCATTGTACGGGATGACTAGATGAGAACTCATTTTTTTCACGTTGTGGATCTTTCCCAGCATTCCCAGCAACCACATGTTGAGAGGTGACAACCCCAGAAAACCCCATGAAGGGGAAGCCATAAAATGCTACCTACATAGCCAGGCAATTGCAGAACAACTATAGATATACCCTGACCATATATCACTTAGTGTGGGTAGCTTCCATGTGGACCCTACGGCTCAGTTGCACCTTCAGCAACAGCAACATCTGATTCCACCTGCTCTTCGGCAGGAGGCACTCCAACCACCTTCGGAATCTGTTTCTTCCGAGGCTGGGAACTGAACTTTCCGCACAATTCCGGCGTGACAAGACCATGGATTTTGAAAATGCGGGATGCCTTTCTAGCATCGGCCCGTGCTCCCTCCGGATCCTTTTTGGATGCGAGGGACTTGCGATACGCATTGGAATACACAGCTCCAGTGGTGACATGGTCCGGGGGTTTGTACCCATTCTTCAAATCATCCCCGTCTGCATCACCTGAACCCCCGTCAGTTGCAGCGGGGCTAGCTGCAGCTTCGGGCTCCCCAAAATCAGCACCAGCATCATCGCCAGGGTGTGGCTCCTGGATGGCCGGCAAAGAAAAAACAAAGAATATCAGATGAACTGGAGCCTCCTCAATTTTTGAATGCGGATGCAGTCAAGATGATTGATTAGATTCTTGCTTTACGCTACTGAATTTTCTCCCAAAAGGCATAAAAAGGACCCCCCCTTTTTAGTGTTTTTTGTCATTTTGGGATATGTTTTTCATTATACGTCTCTTGATTCCATATTTAAAAAAATAATGGCTCCTCAATTGCTTTCGTAGCTTTCGTAGGGCGTCGGGGCTTCTTGGCACCACTTGACCCACTTGGCACAGGTTCTGAAGGTGCCACATGTGATTCACCTTTTGTCTTACGTTTCTTCGGGGGGGCTACGGCGTCATGGGCATCCCCCTCTTTTGAATTTGTCTTTGGCTTACGGCCTTTGGTCTTCCCGATGGCTTCACCCTGTTTACTGAAATTGGCTGTGACATCAGTTAATGTTGCAGTCTCCAACTCAGCAGCAAAAGGGGCATCCGAGGTCATTTCCCCATATTTGTAGTCGCCAGTCTTGACCTATAGTGTTGCCGACACAACGCAACGTCTTGGCCAGGCCAGGCAATGCAGCATCTTAATGCAGGTGAGACACAGGACTGAGCTCCTGCAGGTTCGGAGCCGGGGCAAATTCAACATGTGCACGCTACGTTGAAAATTTAGACGTGTGGGTATGTATGATCATACATGCAGAAATACGCATATATACTATAAGACTGTTACAGAAATAATTGCCAATATACACAACCAGATATACCTAGTCACATATGCATACATGATGTATATTATACATACCCATGCATAGAAACATACATCCGAGGGACGAACAGCACACCTACAATCCATCTTTAAGAAGTATATATATTTATAATTAACCTGTACATATAGCTGTCAAAGGAATACCTTCTTGCCAGGCATGGGTGTGATCGTTTGCCCTGCTGTTTCTCTACAACTCATAATGCACATGTTGTGTTTGCGCACAAAAAAATCACACATAAAACAATGTGAAATAATTGCATAGAATACTCACTATAGGGCTGCATTTTTTTTTGGGACAGTCGTAGCGTGTACCAAAAAAAATATCGTTGCAAACCCCAGACCAGATTTCCCACATGGCTCCTTCTCCTCATCACCGGGCTTTTCTTCCAGAATTTGGCCAGCCTTCCAGGAAGGGGTACTGCTGAATTAAATGGCGTGAAGGGAATAAGCTTCAAGTCAAATACTGATGGAAGCCTCTGGGTGAATCTCATTGCTCATCTCTGCAGCGCTGGCTGCAGCCGTGGCAGGCCCCTGCGCTGAAAGAAAAAAACACACAGCAACCAGGCCGGGCGATGGGTAAACTTGACATGCCAGAACAAGGTCATGGGAATGGCGGCATGTGGATCTGCAAACTACGCGAGTGAAGGGACAAGTTGAAGTCAACACGAAAGTTGTTGAGAGAACGGCATGTGGGCAAAAGGCCTGCCTCATGTCCATCGGCTCTGGATTCTGCTAAAATTTCCTCAAAAAAAGGCACATGATTTTTGAAGACTTTCGGCTTTCATCAGGAGTTAGGCACTTGATGTGCGATCACTGATTTCGAAAAAAAAAGGTGCAGCGAAGCGTCATATCCAAACGGCGGCTCAAAACCGTTCAGGGCTGCAAGCACCTGTGCATGGTGCCACTGAGAAACCATGATTAGATGCTCCGATTTTTTGATGAAAAAAATGGTTTCCATGGGGTTCGAAAATCTGTCAGAAGTCAATTGGTTTTCAATATCCTTGTTTCGGCTTAGCTGCACACCGGCAGGCCTCCGGGCTCAGTTCATCATCCGTAAGATCGACGACGCTGGCCGGGCCCACAGAAGGTTCATACTCAGTATCGGCCAAAGGAGGTGACATGCAAGGCTGAGAGTCTTCAACCTGAGTTGGCCAATCACGCTGGATTAGATCATGTTGGCGCTACAACACAGACAGAAACCCATACATATCAATTGTAATAGACAAATTTTATATATATATATATATATACTACTATATACTATTTATTTATTTATTTATTTATATATATATATATATACAGTTTGGAGAGATATGTGATTGATTCTGCTGCCAGAACGGCAACTTGTATCACACAGCCGCATCTGAATGGTGAGTAACTATGTCCATGGCTTGTTGGCAAACCTCTTGAACAGCTTGGAGATGGGAATCAATTTGCTGGATCAAATGTCCCGAGGCATCCACTGCACAGCGAAGGGTTTCTATCTCCATGTGACCTTGTCAGAAGCTGACTGAACGTGAGTGAATTTAAAACATTCATGTAGGTCTGCCAGTCTAAAAAACTGTGGTTGGAACTGGATGGTTGAATATCATCATCTGCGATCTCCACAACACCACTTGATGGCTCCTGGATCAGGACCCTTGAAAAAGATGTTTGTCTTTGCGAGGAAAGGCATGGGACCAGAATCACCATGCAACCCCCGCATCCTCCAAGGCTTCATCTGGCAAGTAGGGGGAAAAGTCCTCTTCGCTCCGAGGCTGCGCGTACGGCATGTTCTGCCACATCTCTCGCTCCTGCAGCACGAGGACAGGACAACCAGCCACATGGTGTCCAGATGCAGGAAGTAAGTCTATTCAAATATAATCTAAACACCGTTAATGATAAACAAAATCTCATACAATCTCATTGAGTGTTCAAAAGATGGGATTGATTATATATATATACATATAAACCTAAACCTAAACCATCCTAAACCTATCCTAAACCTATATGATGTATACACATTTGGTAGGTAAATGTGGGAATATATCATACATAGAGTGCCAATTTATGAAAAACTTCGATGCCAGACCACACAGAATTGCCCAAAAAAGAACACGGTCTTACCTCTTGGGTCATGTGGACGACACCCGACGAGGCTGCTCCGTCTTGGCCATCCTCAATGCCTGAGATGGGCGGCGGGAGCGGGAGTGGACATCACTTACTTGTGCCCACAAAAGTGAAAAAAGGTGTGACCGAAACCGAACCTGCAGCAACTTGCTTGGAATAGATCCCACCCCCAACACGATGCTCATGGATAAATTCCACTTCGTCGTCTGCAACCATGGTGTCTTTTCGGCACATTGGACGCGCACGGCGAGGATTTGCCGTCATAACAGCCCGCAATTTTTTGGCGACCTAGGGCACCCACGTGAGAACGCCTACAAAACCATATATTATAAAGACACATGCCAATGTTTTCTGAATTAGCTAGGGCGCATCCCCACCAGTGTTGCGCTTGCAAGCTCTTCGCCAATATGCCCGAGCGTAGGAGACAAGCGCGAACAGCACATACGACTCCTAGACACCCACCCATATACAACCATACAAGGCAAATTAAGAACAGTTTGCTCGCAAACATTGTACTGCAAAGATGGTTGCAGCCGAAGTTCATCCAAAGCCCATCGCTTCTTTACCCGGAGCACTTGTTTAGATTTGGATAATGTATTCTCGAACTCATCATCTAAGGCCATATAGGCGTTTTGGAAATCAGCAACCGTGAACTCACCTAAGCACAGCAGCATGTGAAAAATCCACTAATGTGGAATGTACGGGCGCACACGCACACACACACACAACACGTGAGCAAATATACATTTCAGCCTGGCGACATACAGGAGACAACTCGCTGAGTGCAAGGATGATGCTGAGATACTTCTGCATATCTTGATACGCGATGCACACAACATTTTTTACTTCACTGAACGTTGTGTTGTGCGGAGGTTTGCGCTCGGCACAAGTCAACAATGCCTTTCCTGGAAGGTGTGCTTTCAAGATACCTCAGGATTTGGCTTGGTGAAAGATGTGATGAGTTGAGCTGTGTAGCATACATCCTCACGAATATCACCAACAGAGTGTTAAAACCCACAAACTCCTTAGGCAAACATGTTGGTGTCTTCTCACTGCATGAGGGGGACAAACTAGCAGGCAAGGTGCAAACCACATCCTGCGTGCTAAACGGAGCACTCATGGGCACAGCAAGCGAAGCTTTCGCAGGGCAACTGAGCCAAACTAGCTCTAGGACACAAAACCTGTTCCATGAACTGGCCATGTGCATTTTTCCATGCGTTCTCTTCACCATGTGCATTTTTCCATGCGTTCTCTTCATCCAGATTACGGCTTCCCACGTGCTTCCCAGCGCAATCCCACAGCCTGGCCTCGAAGATGTTGTCTTGTTTTCTGTACCATTGGATCAGCCCGGGTTGACACAAAGCCACATGGGTGTGCTCCCTATGTCTCAAGTTGATCCAATTTGAAAATCTGAGGGCCCATACACATATGTACAAAGATATGGGTGAACCTGATGTGTCTTGAATTTCACTATATGCTTGAAGATCTTCAAGTTGAAGGGCCAAAACTAAAGCAAACCTAAGCTAGTGAGCCATAAATCAGGACCCCTTGGCCCCTTGCGGCACGTCGTCCCGATTTCTACCACAGGCCCTGACATACCACGGCCCCTCCTCAGCAGGGGCCAAGTTCAGGGTATGTGCTGAGCAGGGTCCGCCCTGTCCTAGTGACATGGCCTAGACCCTTAGGGTATACATAAATAGTATAGATATTATATATATATATCATCTATATACATATCCCATTGAATTAATATGAATATATTACATTAAATCCCATAATAATTTGCCAACCATTCGATAGGCGTTGCGTGAAGAATTGCGCAAGAACTTCACCAGCAGTTCGGCGCGGCAACAGCTGCTGGTGGATGAGCTACGCTGGGGATGCCTGGCCTTCTGGGGATATACCCGACATTAACGGTAAAGATACCAAAATATATATGGAAAATCACCATGTCTAGTAGGTAAATCAACTATAGTACTATATTTCTATGGCCATTTGATAAAAAGCTATGTAACAAATTACCAGAGGGCATATATATATATATATATACTTGTTTGTAATGATTTACGATTAGTACAGTTTGGAATCGAGACGGGTTGAAACCACCAATCAATTTGTTGTCATCCTTGAGAAGATAGAATATGGAAAGCAAAAACAATAACTAGACAGGAATAGGTTTGACACATCTTTATTCTATCTACTTCAGGATGGCATCATATTATATATATACATATATACATGCCTATCGTAAACAAAAAACAGATGGCTTCATGGAGTTGAATAAGGTGTCATGATATTCCCACAGACACCCATGATGTGGGCTACGTTGGAATGATTTTTCGATAGTCTCCAACAAATGAACACACCAATCTGGAAAACCATGATTTCCCAAGGAAAACAACTTCAAATGGTGGGTTACTATCTGACATTGATTCCTAAGTCCCAACGATCATTGGGCTACAACCCAGAGCAAGCCCCCTGCCAGGTGGTGCCCCCCAAGTTATAAGTTGGTTTATAATCCCATTAACTATAGATATATCTACCATAAGTCCTAGTCATTAGAGTTATAAACCAACTTAGCTATCTTGGGGGCACCACCTTGTGGGTTTGCTGGTCAATTGTCAATCCCCCAGCAGTTGGATGATTTTCCCAGCAACTTCTATGGTTTCCGGAATTTTCCTGCCACTTTTGATTGCGGGTATTCCAGTAAATATTCCGTTATGAAGCCATGGTAAACCATTGTGAAGCAGATGTTTAAGCCATTCTTCACCATTGTTCACCACTAACCATTCTTAAGCCATTCTTCACTAGTATTAAGCCATTATGAACCACTATTAACCATTTTTAAGCCATTGTTCACTAGTATTAAGCCATTAAGCCATTATGAACCATTCTCAGAAGGTAAACCATAGACTGATGAGCCCCGATCGCTCCTCGTTAAAGGTGTCGAGATTGGCGACTGCATGGAGCAATCCCGCAGCAATGGGCGAGAACTCCTCGCCCTTATTGAGGTGCCGTGGTGGGGCCCAACAAAAACGATGGGAACATGGGGGTTCAACCGTGAAACATGGGGAAAATGGATGAACACGCTGGATTTAAGCTGCAAAGGGAAATTACTATAGTTGATTTCTGATAGCTTGAGTTGGTTGAACTAAGTAGGATGGTTTATGGATGTTTATGGTACACCTAATGTACATCGGTCGTCGAACTGGCTAAATCTGGTTTTAAGCAACAGACATAGCTGGGGCTCACCACCTTGCAGTTCTCCATATCTGGAGCCCTTGGACCAAGTTCCCAAAGAACCATCCAGACTGATTGTTTTAATGAACATATGGATAAGTCAGTATATTTCCAGACAAATTGACAAGTCAGTATATTTCCAGTATAAATAGTCAGTATATATAGTGGATAAGTCCAGATAAATCCATCATGATGGATATTTGACAAGTAGAAATAGTGGATAAGTCAGTATATTTCCAGAATGTCCACTGATGAATTATACTAAGATCCCTGAGGATCATCATCCGCTATGCTCCGATCAATTGTCAGTCACAAGGTTTAGCAAATCCCTCATCGATGTCCTCCAACCATATGATTACACCCGGTTGTTGCACAGCGGTATGGAACAATGACCCCTGCTTCCTGATATCGGTTGCATCACACTCTTTTGCAGGTGAAAACCCTTTCAATTGATTTTAACATGTGTATGAATATACAGTCTATTTAGATACCAGTAGTACCGCACAAGACGGCGGCGGAAGTTTCAAAGATAGGAAACTACAGGAGAGGTGAGTTGCAGTGATGCATGGATGACAGAGCGAACCCACTGATGGATCGAAAGGTGGTTGGGGCTTTGAGCCTCTCATTCTCTCTCTCTTTGTTTCCTGCTCGTCTCTTTCCAACTGTCTCTATCTGTTTGCTTGACTCTGTGTCCACCCATGTCTGATGATCTATCACCTTCTCTCTCTATCTATGTCTCTATCTCATCCTCTCTCTACCTATGTATCCATCCATCAATCGATGTATCTTGCTGCCCTTTTATCTATCCATTTATCTATCTGTTCAGCATTCTACCATTACATCTATCGATCCAGCTATCCATCTTTTTGTCTATCTATTTGACAATCCCTTGATCTGTCCATCATTTTTATGTACGTATCGAACTGACCTTCTATTCATCCCCCTATCCATGTGTCTCCCACTCCTTTTATGGCAGAACCATCGAGCAGGAACATCGACAAGGAGGTAGCAGCAGAAGCTGAAAACGAGAATCGACAACAACATCTCTTTGTCGGTGAAAAGAAGCATCCCATTTGTTTAAAAACATGTTTGAAACATTTTGAAACACTCTGTCTCCTCACCTTCTTCCAAGCTTAGCTGTTGAATCTCTTTCGCAAAAAAGACTTGGGATCGACATTGTCCGCGCCGTCAGAAAAGACAAATACGAACCTTTGCAAGTGACCCCTTTTCCTGTCCTCAGGGTTTCGCGACTTTTCTACCTTTTCGCGCACCTTGATCTTCTTTCTACTGACTCTTCTCTTCTCTGATCTTATTTTTTCTTCCTTTCTCTTCTCTGACTCTTCCCACCTCTGCTGCTTCATCTGTCCATATCGTCGGAAGTTTGGCTTCTAAACTTCCTTCGATGAATACAAATTGGTTGCATTCTTGAAACAAAACAGACACACACACACATATATATGTATACATATACTGCATGATTTTGTTCAAATCTTCACAACTCATGTGTCCCTTATTGGAGGTGAATTTCCTGTCAGAACGTCAGGAGTTGCAGGGTCAAGTGCTAGAGCTGCGGAGCGAGAACCGACGCTCTGTGGAGGCGAGAGATGTGATTTTGAGGAGATGATTCACCTACAAGGTGGTGCCCCCAAGATAGCTAAGTTGGTTTATAACTCTAATAACTAGGACTTATGGTAGATATATCTATAGTTAATGGGATTATAAACCAACTTATAACTTGGGGGCACCACCTTGTACCCTTGGGATTTTTAGCCATGAGAGATATGGGTCATCAGGGATACGACCAAAATATCAGGATAACACCATCGATCGATCTATAGGTGAGTTCGAGGAATTTCGATAGCTCCCACTGAGGCATCA